AAAAAAAAAAAAAAAAAAATCACTCCTATTTGTGAATTTTTGGGTTACGACAAAACCCTAGTGGTAATTTAACTTCATGTACTCCACTAAGATTAGATATATCTACTCTACTTGTCAGCTTTCTCAAAGCAAGATGATTCATTCTCCTTCATCTTGACTCTGTTCTTCAGAGACACTAACTTCTCCACGTGGATCCTCTTCTATTCTGGAAGGGTTTTCGTCACCTGTAAACATTCTGCTTAGTGATTTAAACAATATGGTGCAATATTACATACGATTTTATAAATGGATTACGTAAGAAAGGTAATTTCACTGCCCACACTTATGTTGATGTAAAAAAACAGATGGCACAACTGACAGCTAAAAGGCAGTAAAAAGTAAATCAATGTAATATCTACAAGAAGTGTCAAAGGAAGATTTAAAATGTTTTACTACAACATTTTCAGATCTACAACATTTTCAACAGGTGTAATTTTTTTATATCTAACGAGTCAAACAATAAAAGTATCTTATTATAGAGGGAGAGATAAAAAAAAAAGGTTAAGTTAAACATGTACAATTTTGTATGTTTAAGATTCACCTTTCTACTGGTTTGTGTAACCAGATAGATGATGGTACATTTATATATATAGATTGATTAAACAGTACTTCCTCATGCTGTCAGATAAAGAGCAATTAAACAAAACAGATTCATGACAAATATCTAGATGGGAATTCCACCACTCTACAAATACTTTCAAAGTAAAATAAAATAACTAATAAAAAGGCTCTTAATAATGCATTCAGTTCTTTGATAGATTGAAGTTTTAATTTAGGAAAAGATATGGTCAAAGATTCAAATCCCACCTACCTGTGTAAACCTCAAAAATTTTCCAAAACATAAGTAGGTGTGATGTATTTTTGATAAAATTTCTACAACAGCTTGAAAATGAAATACTGTAAAAAAGCAACCAAGCTTGTTCAAAGTTAATTTCACTCATAAAAAAGTGAGTAAAAAGTAACCCACGTGACCCAACACCACCAAAATAAACGGCAAGTTAAGTCATCCTTTTTCTTAGTTCATTAAGGCAGCACATTCACATTTATCAACAGAAAATTATGTATGAGCATACTGTCTCCATCAAGAGAATTACTCTTATGAAAAACATAAAATTTTTCCAGAGGTTGGTGTAATCATTTAAAAAAATCTAAAACATACAAACAAAACTCACCTGTTGGCCTTATCACTAGAAACCTGAGAATATCAGAGAGAGAGACAACTCCAACAACATGGTCGTTATCATCTACCATAACCAGGCGATGAACCTGACGATAAAAATTAATGTCGCATGAAACTTGGTAAAATGTAAAAACTATTTAATAAAACAGTGGATACAGCTCAAGCAGCCTATTTAGTCATTTTATGGGTCTACATAATGCATCATTAACCCCCCCCCCCTTTTATGTTTTCCATGGTGAAAACAAAGAGTAGAGAGCCAAACAAGAAACTGGGTGAAATCACTAATTTTCTAGGTGAAATACACAAGAATCCCTTGTAGTAATAAGTGGTATTTTTGCATTATTATATTGATGGAATACTTGTTTAATTTTTTTTTAAATCATATGTTAGTAGCTTAAAATGTTATGTACAGTCAATACATCTCTACAGGGTGGAAATTTGGACCTTATCAGCCAAAACAAAATGACAAAAGCAGTTGAAATGTATTACTAGATATGAATGATGATCAGCTACACAGAAATAAAGTCAGTACATGCAGCGAGAAATGCAGAACCAAAGACATTACCCCTCAGAATTGGGAAGAACACCTATGTTCTATGTTATTAGGGTCTCTGTAACCAACAGAATCATGGATCTACATACAATTTAGGGTATAAGTAATCTGGAAAAGTGACTTAACATCAAACATTTAATAGTGTTATAGGATTTAATTCAATATGATAAACGTTATTAAAATTTAAATGTTTCTCACCTCGGCTTTGACAAGAATCTCCAACACTGCACCCAGTGTATCATGAGCTTTACATTTGACTACACCTTCAAACCACTAAATAAAATTAAAAAGAAAGAAGATAAGCCTTGAAATAACTGATTGTACCAAGAAACCTTCAAAGTTTACAATTATTAAAAAAAGTTTTTTTTACCAACATTCTTCAAAATCATAATAGTCCTTTTATCATCTGTTACTAATCCCCAACTTACAGGCTTGTTTTTTTTTTATATGGAATTCACATATTGCATAATACCGAGTTCTTTTGTTTAGTGGAATCACAAATTTTCTATTTAAAATTCACAGACCTCAGTAATAACTGGCAAGTTTAATTGTAATATTCATGGTATTTGTTACATTTGATATGTATTCTACATGTTGTTACAGATTCTATGAAAAAAAGTCATAAACCACAAGCTCTGATGCATAAATATATATATGAACCGATAAACTTGTAATGTTTGAGAATCTTTTTGTAACACTTAAAACATCTATGGAACCAAATATTTGAAAACTTTATCAGAAATGTTTGTGGAGTTAATTTCCATTACAATGTTCACCATTTCATAACATATAGGAATATACAAGACGTACTTCCATAGGGTCACCAAAAGTGTTCTGTTTCTTCTTACTTTTGAAGTTTATATGTCATACTGTGTTGAAGCCTATAGAGTGCATAATTCTTGTGATTTGCGGCAAGCTCACATTTTATCGACATCACAACAGTACAAATTGCAACATCAAGCATCCCTTATGTGAAGTAATTTCAGTGTCTACTGACTGACTGACATACAACACACTACTGTATAGTAGTTAAAACAGGTTATCCGTCCAAGTAGACTTCTGTCCCATTTTGGGGAAATGAGACCAAGAAGGTATCTACTTTGTTATAAAAGTCTTTAGTATTTTTTCATAATGCCAAACATGTAAAAAAAATTGGAACAATATAATTTTGTACTCCAAATATTTCTTTTAAACTGTATAAAAAAAAAAAAATCTTTATACTATAAAGGAAAATTAAAGTCCAGAACTATATCAAAACTAATTCATTCTTTTCCCCTTAAAAAGAAACAGGTTCTCTCAAATACTCAAACATGTGTGATTGTATTGAATAAAGAGTAAATTCTAGGGATTTTACGGAGTCATGAAACAACCATGTGCTTTCAGAGAAGCTATCTCCTAATCACATTAATTTTACATTAAACAGATACAGAGCTTAAGTAATACAATTACAATATAAATAAACAAAATAGACTTAAGACAGCAAAATAATCAGAAGCAATCAATTTCAAAGTACAACTTAAGAATGAAGTTTCCAGATTTCTAAATCACTGAAATTTAACAAATATTATTTATACAAGATTTTATACGTCCTGAGATTACACTTGTAGGGAAACTAGCTTCAAAGTTACTTACTTGGTGTCTATGTTCTAGTGCCTTCTTCACAGTTACATCAAGATTGTTGTAGGTCTTTTCAGCTGCGAGATTCTGGAAACAATGATGGACTCATAAAACATTTTATGGTTGTATTTTAAAACTGAAAACTATCATTTAGTTGGTGTTAACATTCACACCACTTTTTACACAAAGAAGATAGTTGTAGTGATCATTCTATTGGACAATTGATTTATCTATCTGGTCTAATCAATGAAACTACAATGATTGATTTTTTAGCAGTATGAACAATCATAAGGTAGTCTTTAAAACAACTTTAAAAAATGAACACTTAGTTGGCACCATTACTCATCTCACCAGTAAAATCATGTTGGTTACAGTATCTTTTATGACAATAAAATCACTTATCTTGGTCAGTGGCTATTCTGACCATCTATTGTTTAAGTTAATATTACCAACATAGTTAATTTATAGTTAATATATATATATATATATACTGTTCTTAACATGTTCACTGCTTCATAATAAATTAAGTATAAAAAGAGGTGCCGAGGAGCAGTCACATTGTCCCAGACTCTTATGCCACAAGAGAAATTTGGCTTTGAAACACAACTGTCAGTGACCCACCAATGTGTCACGAGGTCCATAACAAAGTCATATTGTGATCCACTGGTGGAGCACATGGCAGCAAATGTGTTAAATACTAGATGTATTTGTGCAAGATCCTTTCAAGAGTAAATATAAACAAAATTAAGAGTAACAAGTATTTTTAATTCTTACTTTTAGAGTTCATATTTTCATGCTGTGTTGTAGCCTACACAGTGCATAATTCTTCTTGTGATTCACGATATACTCACGTTTTATTGATGTCACAACAGTACAAATTGCAACATTAAGCATCCCTTATGTAACATTTTAGTGTCTACTGACTGACTGAAAGACAACACTACTGTATAGTGGTACGAGTGGTTAAAACAGGTGACTTTGAAAGGGTGCAATATTTACCTGAAAAAGTTGCAGTTTAAAGAATAACGTGTAAATAAAAACAATTGATACTCATTTAGGAACAACGAGTTTTTAAAAGAACACGGTTATTGTAGTTCTGTTTTCTCCACATGCTTGAACAGTGATATTCTACAATTTAACTATACCTACTTTTATGGTACACTTTATCTAAACATTTTTGGCTTATGGAATAATTGTTTGAAACCTTTGTTAAGTATTTATTGTTTCCTTATTTCTATTCTTGCATCAAATTTGTTATCACAAAAACAAACGAGTAACCGGCAACTTAATCTATTGAGAAATATCCTATGTCAATGAAAACCAATAATCACAGAACCACCAAATAAAAACCAATTTCTCTGAAGGTTGTTGTACATGATCCAACTTGCAATAAACACTAAAAATTTATAAGTTCATTCTTATCGAGTGTACAAGTCCATGTTTTCAAATCAGCTTGATACTATGATATACCACATTAGAGAATCAATTTCAATTATATACTGTTATTAAAATTTGACTTTACCTCTTTCTTGTACTGAAGATTGTTTTGTTAAAGGCATGTATAATACACTAACAGACTACTTTAGTGGGACCTTTCCCTGCATGCACACACACACACATAACACTATTTATATGCTCCAACTAGACTGGTCAGTTAGTGGAGATAGGAATTTTTTTGTTTAAACTTTCACAAGGATAAACTTGGTACCATTTCAGCACGAGTGTTGTTATCAAATAGTTTTTTTTGACCAGCTGTTTAAAATATATCAACAGTGACTATCAAGAGGAAATGTCCCTAACCAGGAAAAACTGACCACCAAACCACTGAGCAAGCATGAAAAGTGCAACAAGCTTTCAGTAATGATTAAGTCATTTGTAGAGACACACACACACACACACACACACACACACACACAAAAGTTACATTTTTAATGAAGTATTTTTACTAAAACTTTCTTCGTGAATATATGAAGTTAAAGTGTTAACTCCTCCAAGTACAAAGTGATTTTCATGTTAAAACATGTTTCATCTCTAAAACCTCCTATATACATTTCAGAATTTTTAAAAATATTTTTTGATATTTTCTCCACCTAAATCTAAATGAAGTTGGTTAATTTGATTAACCTCATTACCAACAACAAGAAAAAAAAATTAAATTACCCCACTTTTTATTTCTAGAATGACCTGAAATTGTAACATTATACTACATTTGTTTATCCTAGATAATTTTAAACTCTTATCAGTATTTATCCATTTATACTTAAATTTTGTCTTATTGGACCACCTTATTTTTAAGGTGGTATGACTGATATTCCCATAAAAAAAAAGTTTGTAAATTACTTAGCAAACGTGCAGCTCACATTAATCTATCAAATTACATAACACACGAGCTACTCATGAAGTGCCTGCGATCATACCTTGTGAAAAATTTTTTAAACTAACCTAAAAAAGTTTAAACTTTACATTTTAGTTACACATTAAAAACAAGAAACAAAATACTTTCCAGTCTTTTTTTTCTAATATTAATGTTAGTACTGCACTTTTTAATTAAATAATGCATCTAGGAACACAGTAAATCACATACAAAAAGCAGACAATGTCCTATAACTAATCCCAATTTTCCTGCCTTTCTAACTCTGCAACAACAGCCATTAAAAATTCAGCTAAGCTTGTTGAAGTATTTCCCATGGAAATAGTTTGAACTGGAAGCAATTCTCTGTACAGAAAACATAAAATGAAATGTCATTTGATAGATTAAAACCTTGGATTTCTATTGGTTATAAATAATATAGTATTAAATGCCAGAGAACTATTGGCAATTTCTTAAAGGGAAGATGTGACATGTGGGCATGGCAAGAGGGGTCTGATTTTCTATTTTATGGCTCTGCAACTAAATAAGATTAAAGGCTATAAAAATTATGCTTTGCCTGAACAATAACAACATTATAATGAGTAATTTACATTAAGTTTTGTATTTCTTGGAGAGGTGGTAAATAAGTTAAAGAGGGATATCTAGTGAGAAAAATGTCAATTCTCGTACTAGTGGAAATTCGGGATTTTTTTTTTTAATATTGCTATATAAAATTAAGAACTTAAAACTTGTATAATATTAAAATTTGGATTATTAGCCACGTTTTTTTTTATGCCATGATAACAAAGTAGTTTAATTAAATTTTGAATGTAACTCGCAAAAACATCATGATAAGCACAGAAATGTTAATAATATGGGAATGTCCTTATGGCAAAAGATGCGTTATTTAAAATGCCAAGTATGCCTGAAATATATATCATAACCATCCCATTATACTGAATTTTCATCCTACGTAAGGGGATTCTTCAAATCCAATAATGCAACAACCCACTAGTCTGAAACTAGTTTAAAGAGCACAATGTTTACCTCATTTACCTTGTATGTCATTAATCTTTCTGAACCAATTGAAAACTAATTCCTGGAGAATAAGCTACAATCACACAAGACACTTTCTGGTATTGTGTGGGGTCAAGTCTAGGTAATTAATATGGCAATAGGTGCTCCAACCCAATATTTAGTGAGGTTCTAATAAAATGACCAGTTAGTGTACAAGTTACCCCTAAATGAATAATTTTAAATGACTTGACAACACTTACAAAAATATTTTTTACAAATAAATTATTAAATACACCCAGATAGACTATCTGTCATCTTGTTTCTTTGTAGTTAAGGGTTTTTTTTTATTAATTTGCATAGGTAATTATACTTCAGTAAATACTAAACTACAAAAACAATAGTGAAAATATCATTATTACAATTCAGAAAAAGAAAGAAAGAAAAAACAGAAGAAATGTTGATCTCGATTGACTTAAAAAAAAAAAAATGCCCTTACAATAACATCAAATTTGGCATAAATATCAACCACTTTTCCGTGTTCATTCACCAGTGGTAATGCCGAAACTCTTCTTTCTACAAACAGGTTGAGAGCTGTAATGACAGGAGTGTCTTCTTTTGCCTAAAAGAAAAGTTTTTTTTTTAAACAACCATATTAAATTAGGAGAAACGTAGTGCTTAATAACCTCCATTTTTGCATTCAAAGTAGTGTTAAACTTAAATTTTACTGAATAACAGCTCAAGTAGAATGTACAAACTTTTGTAACAATTCATTTAAAATTAGTAAATATTTGAAGAGATGTATATGTAAATGTACAGAAATGGATCAAAAGATATTCACTCTGTAAATGAATGAAAAAAAAAAAAAATTAATTATATATATATATATAAAATATTTTTTCTAGCCGTTAAACTTTGCTGTTAGAAATTGAAGATATTTTCAAACATAAGGTAAAACTTACAGTTGCTATGTTATAGAAGGTTCCCAGTTGGAGGTCCTGTAGAGTCTGGTTAAGATAACTTGGTCTGGGAAGCTCTGAAAACTTAAATCAAAAAATGAAATTGTTTTCATAACAAAATTGAAGAGTTAGATAAAAGCATTTACTCATGTTTACTTCTATTTATAATGTAATGCAATAATTTAAGTTCAACAACAACAACTTGTTGTTGCTATCAATTAATCAAATTTAGACTATTCGTTTCTCACAAGTTGTCACTAATTGGTTTTTTCACAGCATTTTAAAAACAATTTAAAGGTTCTGCATAAAGTATGCAAGATACTTTAATAACATTTTAACAGTAACCTTAATAATAAATAACTTACTATATAGACAAACTTCAATACAGTCAAAAACATTATGTCACACTTAAAATATCCATAATAAATAGCTTGTGTCGAAGTCAGAATTAAGTGTTATTTCCCTTAACATTTATTGTGCCAAGTACTAAATTTATTATGGATTATCCGATATCTTGAAAAAATTCCCCAAATTCCTGGTAGTTTGGCATACTGATGTTCAACTGTATGTTCTTGAGGAACTTAAACAAATACTTCAAATATTTTGCAGATATTTCTTCCACTATCTCAACATAATTTTATCTAAAAAATGTGTATTTAAATATATATCTGTAAGAGAATGCAAGATTTTAAAAACATCTATGATGTACTAACTATTTCAGTTTTGTAGAATAAAGTTTAAAAAATAATAAAGAAATGCAAGAAGATATGTAAAAGCATCAAATGAGCACATAGTTAAGCAATTTGATAAAACTATGTCCAAGAGGTTTTATTAAAAAAGTACTAACTGTATTTACTGTCAATATGTGCTTTCTAATGGCACCATTGATAGTTGCACTGACCGAGATGAAAACTTTAAGATTTAACTATTTAAAGATCAATTTGTGCATTTGTGTGTGCAAAAGTATATAAAACAAGCAATTTTCATTGTTTTATGACTTCTCAGCAACTTAAGGACGTGTACATTGTGAATACTTACATAAAGAAAGAGGAATCTGAGAATTCTCTTGTGGGTCAAGATGTACAGTACATTCCCAGTCTGAGGGTCAATTACCGGCAACCGATGAACCTTGCCATGAATCAGCTTCTTAATAGCTTCATATAAACTGAGGGTTTAAACAGGATTATCTTGTAAAACAAATAAATGCAAGTTTCACAAAAAGAGCCAGACTAACACAATTAATTATTTAGAGCAGTGATGATTTTTCTAAAGGCACCTATAAATGTAAGGAGGATCTTTCATTTCAAATATTCTCGTTTTCCCAAAGATGGATAACTTAGCTGATAAGCATTACTGAAAAAAGTAAAATAGCCATACATCTAAGCAAGGTGTAATACCTAATTCTACAGTCTTTGAATAACAAGTTAAACACCCATATGCACCGACTGGATGAGAAAACACATTTTTAATACATCATAGAGAGTGTTGTAAATTAACTATACTTACCCTGCATCCGGTTCAATACTAACAAGAGGTTTTGTTTTTTCCTTAAGAACATCTGAAAAAAAATACACAAATTCTTTAGCTAAGTTAAACCAGTCATATCATTAGACACCAAAACCATTATGGAAGGGAAAATGTTTAATTAATGTAGGTTTCAAATCTGATATTTAACAATAATAGGCATTTAACATTTTCTTTCAGTAACAATGTAATTATATTAATGTAATGTAAACACTGCATTAGAAAAAACTAAGGAGCTCCTGACTAATAAAACTGGCATATCTAACATATAGTTATCTAGTTCAGCTATATCACAAATTCCTTGAGATATTGACCAATTTTTGTTGTGAAGGTTGTTTCAATAAATATTGAATCTAAATGTTTGGTTCAGTTCCATCCACTTTCTTAATGGCAAATATGTAGAGGGATTATGCTTTGATGTTTTCAGTTAATGTTAACAGTTTCTATGGTTGACCCAGCCAAGCAAACACTGAGGATTTTGTAGTTTATTACAAAATTAGAATAAATAAGGTTGAAAAAAATCCAATTACTTAAATGTATCGAAATGGTTTATTTAAGTGTTTTACACTCACAAAAAAGAAACCTATCATTCTATAGGTATTTGAAGAACTTTTAGCATTCTGCCACGATTTAATTATTCGTATTATTATGTTTAAACAACTCTATTCAATTACTTAAATGTAATTCCTATTTTTAATTTATTGTTTTTTCACAACCTAGGACTTCTAAGGTGCCATGAAAATATATCTGTGCATAGATCATGAATACACAAACTTTGGAATTTCTTGATGATTACTGAACTGAAAAAAGTTTGTGAAGATTTTAGGTTTAGTAAAAATACAGGAAATAAAAAAAAGTGTAGTATGTTTATGGAGCTCAGGATAAGCTTACTTAAATTTGATATTGAAGTATGCAAGTAGATGTACTAGAAATGTTAAATGATATACTATATCCAAACGGTAAAACTAGGATTTTTTTTTTTTTATTATATACACAGTACTTGTAATAACAGATGTTCTACATGTCCATGAGAGAAATGGATGAAACAAGACAACTACAGAGCATGGTCACAAGTAAATAGACACCACCTTTTCAGAAAAAATGAAATTTTTCAGTCATATTCACATGAATTGATATATTTATAATTTAATTAATATCTAGTAGATCTTCCTTTCGCTTCGTGGAGTTTGTTGATCCTTTGGGACATCGTGAGAATCATCTTGTCAATTTTAGATTGTGGGATTTTTGCCCACTCTTGCTTCAAAACTTGGAGTAGATCGCTCTTCGAAGTTGGTTTTTTTGGTTGTTTGTTGACTTGCTGGTCGAGTATGGCCCAGAAATTTTCGATGGGGCTCATGTCAGGAGATTAGCTCGGGCAGGGCAACTTCTGGATACCATTTTTTCCTGCCACT